GTAATTATATTTAACATTTTTAATCAGCATTACTACTACTACACTACTACTATTACTACTATTACTGCAACTACTACTGCTACAATTACTACTACTACTACTTCCACTACTACTACTACAATACTGCCACTAGTAATGCTACTTCGACCACACTGGATTATTAATATCATTATCATTATTATCATTATCATCATCCCTACTACCATTACTAATAGTACTCTACTATTGGTACTATTACTACTACTATTAGCACTTACTGGTGATCATAATTACAATCATCTTTGTTACCATCGAAATTATCATCATCATTATTATTGTCATCACTGATGATTTCGCTATCGGTATTGCTATTGTTATTGTTATCATTACCATATAATATAGCACTAACGACAAGTCTAACCGCAGGTTGTGTGATGGCACTGCCTGGCGAGAAGGCGCTTGGTGAGAAGGCACTTAGTGAGACGGCGCTTGGTAAGAGGACTAAAACAAATATTGAGTATAGTGAGTTTTTTTTTAACATTGTTGTGGTTAAAGAGTCACTTTCTAGATCTTGAATATCGTCTTGTTTTAGCGTAATGATCTTAATAGGAGATATAAAGCACAATTATAAGGAAATCGTCGTATCAGCTGTTCTGGTAAAATATTGTATTTCAAATAATCAGATGTGTAATTTAAATGTTAAAAAACTCCTCCACTAGAATCTCCAGAGAATCCCTAGGGCCGAAATAAAAGCCCATTAATGTCAGGATAAAGCGTTTGAAATTTAAGGCAATTCCCCAAGTTCTTTAAAATCGTCAGCATCCATCTAGCCTGATCACGTAACAGACCTTGAGTATACACATCAATTACTTAGTTGTTGCAGATACGAATCGTTCCGCTGATAATGCTATTTTCAATTGCATTATTTTCTATCGTTGCACCATTTTGTTTCGCAGCCATAGATCATGATCCACCTTGTCTAATTTAATAAAACTTGTGTCGTTTTAGATCTACGCTTTTTGTGCTGTCGTTCAAATGTTTCAGAGTCTGACACATCTTTGAGGGGCTCTTTTATATATGATTCTTAGCCATATATTACCAGCGTTTGATGCCTTTTGAATATTTTGTGAATCCTTCAGCATTCGTTATGCAGAATCATCAGTCCATTGCTCCTATCATTCATATTAATTCCTCCGCTTGCTACTGGGATATAGTAACGTCCAGCAAGATTCTGAATATCGTTTATCAGTATAATATATACCTTCTCCCTACAGACTGCACCGCGCCCTTTGTACCGATAGCAGGACGCTGTCTGTTTTTCGAATCCCTGACGAAGGGAACCTGGGGGAACATGCAGACGATCTGTCAGCTGCTTGGAGGAGACCTTGCGAAGCTCGATAATTCAGACGTTATTGGGGACGTTGCTTTATATATCACAGAACATGGTCAGTAAATAAGAACAGGTTTTGCGAAGAGAAATGGTATATCCATTTCCATATGTATCTCATTTTGTATCTTCCTCCCTCTTTCTCTCTCTCTCTCTCTCTCTCTCTCTCTCTCTCTCTCTCTCTCTCTCTGTGTGTGTGTGTGTGTGTGTGTGTGTGTGTGTGTGTGTGTGTGTGTGTGTGTGTGTGTGTGTGTGTGTGTGTGTGTGTGTGTGTGTGTGCGCACGTGTGGAGAGAGAGAGAGAGAGAGAGAGAGAGAGAGAGAGAGAGAGAGAGAGAGAGAGAGAGAGAGAGAGAGAGAGAGAGAGAGATAAAGAGAGAGAGGGGGGAGAGATAAAAAGAACGGAGGGGAGAGGTGGAAGAAGATAAATCTATGGCAATAAAGTTAAGGATAATGAAGAATCAACCCTATCTGAGATATTCGGGAATATCCATTTATTTTATTCTATACATTTCCTGGACTTTCAAGTTATGCCCGAATCATCGTACTGGATCGGAGCGAGTGATGAAGCCAAGGAGGGCGAGTGGTTGTGGTCGGACGGGGATCAAGTACGCATGGGTGTTCCCCTGTGGTATCACTGTGGTTCGACCATCGAGCCAAACGGAGGAGTGAAGCAGAATTGTGCGGCGATATCTAGCAACCGTTTTTATTATATCACCGATGAAGATTGTTCTGGAGAATACTATGGCATATGCGAATATATCATTGGACGTGAATAAATGAACCATATACGTAACAGGTCTTTTGTTTTTGATATCTGAATCCTGGTTTGAAAAATAAGTGATAAACAGAGGAAAGGAGTGTTGATATTTGAGCTATGTATATGTTGACTTGTTGTGCAATTGCTTATGGAACTACTCTTTTACTCTTTCACTATTTTATATCAAAGAAATTGTGATAAGAAATTATAATAAACGGCAATTGAAACTAGTAACAGATAAAAGAACTAATTCACATTCTGTATCTTCTTCTAAAAGGCATTCATAAAAATATCGCCTTTTACTTTATGTAGTAATACTGATCATGAAAATAATTAGAGTGACTATGATGATAATATCATTGATAAGGATAACAA